GCTCAGGGCGAAAACCCTTTGCCTCCCTCTGAACGGAGGGCGCTGAGCCGGAACTCCTCGGCCTGGCCCTTGGCTGCCTTTCCCACCCTGATTTCCCATCACTGCTTCTGTGCCCCTTCACCTGCTTGCCTGCCCCGGGTAGCCCTGCCCTTTTCTCACTCCCAGAGCCTTGTCCGCGCGGCTGCCTCCCCGGGAGGGCCTCTGTGCAGACTGTGAGCTGTCCCTACATAACTGTTCTCCCACTTCCCAGAGTAACTAAGTTGTACCTGGACATGTGGCCACCCAGCAAAAACCCCTCCCGGCTCCCTGGGACCTGGGGGGCCATGCGACTAAGTGCTGGCCGATGGGACAGGAGCAGAAGCGATGCGGGTCAGGTTGTTTTCCTTCAAGTTTTGCTCTCAGGGTTTGGGCATGAGTTCTTGCCCCCCCCCCCGCCCCCTTCCATGCTGGCCAGGGGGACGGCAAGAATGAAGCAGTGACAGGAGCCCAGAGACAGAAGCCACCTGGTGACCATGGCAAGGCCAGCCCCCCTTCCCTGGACCACTGTCTTCCAGCCTGCAAGGAGGGGACCTCCCTCCTCCCTGTTGGAGTCCTGTATTTGGGGTCTAGAGTTATGGTGGCAGCTGTGTCTCTGCCTCCACCTGCTTCCCTGTTCCTTGTCTCCAGCCTCCAGTGCCACCTCCTCAGGGACGTTTTCCCAGAGGGCCAAGCTCCTGTGGAATCCCTGACACTTCATCTGCACCTCTCATTAGCATACATCTCATTAGAATGCCTCTCATTAGCATACCTCTAATTAGCATACCCTAAATCATGGCTGCAGCCTCTCCCACACCTGGCGAGGGCATTACGCACAGGCCTGACCAGGTCACCCTTCCCCCACTATGGTCGTCCAACCTCTTGGGCTGGTGGTCAGTGTGTGACACGGACCTAGTCCTCCCTTTAGAGATGAAGCCCAGACAGTGGAGGAACCCGCTCCCGCAGCTCTGCTGGTCCTGGTTCCCTCCGTGTGTCCGCACGTAGCATCCCTCACACTGCCAGCCCCACCCAGCCCCAGCGTGGCGGCCCTGAAGTAGCTGCTTCCTTGCTGCCTGGAGCCTATATTGTCCTGCTCCTCCTCTGTTACTAAGAACAGGGAGAGAATGGGAGAGTTTCCCTGATCTTTGTGTTATTTTCAAGTGGCCTAGGAAGTCCCACGGTCTGTGTATCTGCTCCCAACACCCTTCTGTCCCGCCAGGCCATATGCTTTGCAAACGGCCCACACCTATTCCTCTGAACTTCTGGCAGCCGTGACCCTCCTGACGAGGCCCGACCTTTGGCATCCCGTCCCGGCCTCCAGGCCCATCATCCCCTGGAGCAGTGCAGGCAGCCAGAAGCAGGACACAGCCAGATTGCAGCCAGTGCGTGGCTATTTTGGGACAGGGAGGATCCTGGGAGGATGCTGGCAAGGTCAGAGGAGGAAGGGAAGGAGGTGGGTTTTCTGCCCACGATTATGTGTCCCAAGCCCTTTGGATGCCACCCAGGGCCCAAGGCTGCCACAGGGAAGAACACACCCACCACAGGCTCCCACCTCAGCCCAGCGGGTCTCAGAGGCAAACTGGGGCAGGCCTGGGCTCGGGCTCCCGGCTCCAATCTCAGTGGCCACTGTGGGCAGGAAGAGTGTGTGTTTATTTGCTGTGATTTCAGCCTCAGGCAGGACTCAGGGCCTTCTCCAAGTGGGCGAGGCACCAGAAACCAACCGGAGGGGAGATGGAGAACACAAGAAAGAGTCCACTCACCCGGCGATGGTTCTTGATCGGTTATGGAACATTCCTTGAGCATCTACTAGGCATGGGGCACAATATGAGATGCTGGCAAGACACAAGGAAGGAGGCTTTGACTCTGTATGTGGCGCTTGCAGTTGCCTACGTCCTTCTGTAAGTATCAGGCGCTCTAAAGAGGTTACACTCTGACCCCTGACTAAGGAAATACTCGGAGAGGCAGCTTTAGGTGGACGAGCGAGAGTGGTGCTTTACCCATGCGTGTGGGGACTTGCAACCATTGCAGGATGTCAGAACTCCACTCTACCCGTTTGGAGACGTGCTCAGTACTGCGCCCAGCACACAACTGGTGCTCAATGAGGGGCAGTGGCAACTGCCATTTCTCAGACAGGTTGGCAGCCACATGCCCGTAGGCCTCAGTGGGTGAGAAGCCTCGGGCTGGGCAGAGGGGGCAGGTCCAGGAGGCAGGTCCAGGGATGCCCATCCTAGCAGATGCATTTACTCCGGGGCTCTATCGTCTGAGCGCCCGGTGCAGCCCTTCCAGAACTTCGCTCCTTCCTACTTTGCCTCCATTTGGGGTCTTGTCTTAAATGCCCTCAGTGTTAATTGCCTGGCTCTGGTCTATACTTCAGGCCAAACTGCCCTCTGGGGAATTCCCTAACACCCCGGACACCCCTTCCAGAAGTCCTTGCCCGCTCTCCTCCCATCTCCTGGACACCTCGTTCCCTGCTGGTGGCCCCTCCCCGTGTACCTTCACCCCGATGTGCCCCTCCTCCCCACCATCTCTGAGCTGCTCCTGCTGCCTCGCCGCTTTCTCCTCCCCACCCAAGAGCCCGGGGTCCCACGCAAACTCTCATTCTTCCAAATCCTCCCTCCCTCCTACCACATCGTTCCCAGCTCCCAGCCTCCCAGGACCACCAAAGCCAGACTCTCCCAAGCACAAAATTGATACCTATTGGTTAGGCACCCACCCTGACAGGGGCAGGGCATGCGAAGCCCAAACAGGCAGGGAGGAGAGAAGGGTAAGCCTCTGTCTTGCCACAGATGTGCAGCCCACATTGCCTCCAGCATCAGGATATGGTGCCTCATGAGGATTTCTGAGCGTCTTTAAAGTGCAAGAGGAATTCAGGGGGAAATAATTGTGCTCAGTAGGAGTCAGGAAAGGTGCTCAATACTTCCCACAATGATCTCTCTGAATCATCGCCATCTACCTGCAAGATGGGGACTAATTTATCCCCATTTTTCACAGGAGGCAACCAAAGCAGAGAGAGGGCAAATAATTCTCGGAAGGCCACACAGCTGGGAAACGTAGAGCTGAAATGCAAACCCGTGTCTTCATGGCTCCAAATCTCCTGCCCCTCCCCAACATGCTACACCCTGAGCAAAAAGACCAACTGCAATTGACCAGAGTTACAGAGATGCCAGACACGAAGATTTGAAACGTGGGTGGCCCTCGAAACCCTGATGCTACCCACAGCCGCTCTGCCCGGCCTGCCACGCCAGCCTTGCCTTCATCGCATCTCATTAATCTTGGCATTCTTCTCCCCAAAGCGTTCCCAGATCCCAGGGCTCAATCTCCTGGGCCCCGAGGGAGGGAGGGAGCTTCCCAGGGCTTCTGGACACCCTTTTAATTAACCCAGGTGACCCTCTTCTGCCTGGGGCCAGCTGAATCGCATCACGGTGCCACCGTCTCCTGTGGCAGCCCCCCTGCACTGTGACTCCCACCTCGGCCACTCATGCTCCAGCAAATGCTGTCCTTTCCCTTCCCACATGCTCAATACATGCTGGCCCCTCTCCCCTGGCTTGGGAACCATGGTGAGGGCTCCTGGGGCTCCTCGGCCCCTCTGTCCATGGAGGGCCTGCCAGAGAGCTCAGTTAGTGTCCTGCCAATGCCACCTGCCCACGGTGGTATCGAGGGGCCACACTCTGAGCCGGCAGAGGTCCGGAGTAGAGTGGTGGGTTGGGGGCTGCGCAGGTCCTCTGCCCTCCCTCAAACCTTGTCTTCACCAGCTTGCAAATCACTGAGCCAATCGGGAAGGCCCCTGTGATGACTTGATTATTTTCTCCCCCAACCCTTTTTTGGGACTTTCTTCCTCATCCCCCCAAAAGCACAGCCCATGCCAGTTACCATGGGAACAATGAAACTTGCTCATCTGTCATTCTCATGCCTTAATAATAATAGTCAGCAACCTAGAAAAGTCCGGATGAACTAACTTATTATTATTAACTGTTTGCAATGAAATTGAACCCAACACGCAGCATAGCGCTCAGCACAGAGCAGGGACTCGGTACATAGCTGTGACCAGATGAACAGGCGCGGCGAGGAGCGGGTCGCTCTGCGCAGAGGAACAAGCACTAGAAGGGGTGCCCTCGGAAGTGACCCGCCCACACAGGGCTAGTAAATGCGGGAGCAGAACCTGCATCCAGCTTGGCCTGGTTAGCTCAGTTGCGCCGCATCACCTTGACCGTGAGCAGTGTGCTCGGTGCGTTTGTGCAGTTCGTCTCCACACCACACAGCACGAAGCGCCCGAAGCCCGCACGCGCCTGAGGGCAGGGGAGTTTTACAATCGGGGTACTTCACTCGTTCCAGTAACAAACACTTTTGTAGGCCCACTATGTGTCAGGAGTTGGACGCGTAACAGTGACCATGATAAGCCTGGTCCCTGCCCTCTTGGGCTTCTCTTCTCGTCAATGCTGCATAACCCTTCAGGGTTTGCAAAACGTAGTCATGCCCATCATCTTGTCTGATTTCACAACGTGGTGCATATAGTGAAGGCCAGTGATGGCGAACCTTTTGAGCTCAGCGTGTCAGCATTTTGAAAAACCCTAACTTAACTCTGGTGCCGTGTCACATATAGAAATTTTTTGATATTTGCAACCATAGTAAAACAAAGACTTATATTTTTGATATTTATTTTATATATTTAAATGCCATTTAACAAAGAAAAATTAACCAAAAAAATGAGTTCGAGTGTCACCTCTGACATGCGTGTCATAGGTTCGCCATCACTGGTGAAGGCCCATAGGAGAGTTCATGAATGAATGAATGAATGTTTGAATGAATGAATGATGGATAGGGGATGGGTGGGCCGATCAATGAGTAGAGGAAAGGCAATACCACAGATATTGCCATTCCATCTTTCAAATGGAAAGCAATGCCCCGAGCAGGGTGTGGCCAGAGCACACCCATGAGAGGGCCTCTGGCGGGCGTCCCGTCCTAGTCCCCGCTCGCAGGCTCCTTACCTGGTGGGCAGTGACACCCTGGAGACGTCTTCGGGGCTTCTCGACGCCTCCGAGAGTGGAGCTTCCATTTCTGCACAAGAAGACAGAGGAGAGGAGTCACTGGGAGTCCTGGTGGCCAAGCGCCGGGAATCGTTGTGGGCTGGCGCAGTGGGGGTGTGGGAGAGGGGCCCTGGGGGCTGGCAGGAGGGCTGTTCCTGGATCAAAGACTGGCCACCGGACGTCTGGGTAATAAGAAGCAGACGGAAAGGTCCCATCTAGCTAATTTCAGTGTCTGCTGTCTTCGGAGCGCTCTTGAAGAAATTAACCCCCATCACAGGACCCTGCAAGCCAGCTGCGGCCTTACTGCGGCCTTCCCGCACCGCTCACTCATGGGCCCCATGGCCTGCTTCTCTCTGCTCTCTGCTCTTTGGTTCCTGGCTAGTCTGGGCTCCTGCTGGATCCCGGGGCAGGGACAGTGACTTGTTCTTCTTGTGTCCCTCTCAAGCGAGGCCCAGGCAGGAGTGGTGGGCTGGAGGCTGGGCAGGTCCTCTGCCTCCATCAAACCTCTTCCTCACCAGCTTGCAAATCACTGAGCTAACCTGCAAGGCCCCAAGAGGTGGCCACAAGTAGAGGGGGGCACCCCCTGCCCACCAGGAGCTGCTATTGCCACGGTTGTAAACAGACATGCACACACCCAGGAGCATCGGTGCCTGGGGTGCTTACGCTGTCAGCGTGGTGCGCTGAGCACCTCAGTTCTCACAAGCACCCTGGGCGGGGGCCACATGCACAAAGGTTAACAGGCATGCCTCCGGGCCAGGCTGCCTGGGTCCACGCTCAGGCCTCGGACGGTGAGCTGCTAACAGTCCCTACCTCACTGGGTTACTGAGAGGAAAGAAAAGCCCTCGGTACATGTTAGCTATTGCTGCACTCATGTTACAGGTGAGGAGCCTGAAGCACAGATGGCAGCCTGTAGCCTGGCCAAGGTCAGGGGAGGAGCAAGGCTGGGACTTGAACCCACACTCTCCGAAGCTGGTGCAGCAGTTGAAGCTGGTAGCCCCCGAGCCAAATTGGCCCTTAGATGTATTTTAATTGGTTCCCACAGATATTTTTTTCATTGAATTTGTTGCCAATATTTTGAAGAGGTTGATTTTACATGCACATCTGCATTTCTAATTTCTCTGGAAAACTGGGAGATCTGGCCGCATGGGGCCCGCACGATGGCTGGCCCTGATTGACAGCGTCCAGTAGTCCCTGACATGTGGACAGTGAGGATGCCAGCTGGCCCCCACCAGCAGCTCTCCAGCACTTAACTACTGTGTCGTCTGCCACTCAGGGTGGGCCAGGAGAGACGTAAAGAAAGGTCGAGGGGGAGGTGTAGTGGGATGAGGCGTCACCTCTGGTTGGTGCAAACTCATATCTGCTCAGCCCTGACCTGCACTGGCACTGAGCTGGGTGCTTTATACAGAGAATCACATCTATTTTTCACAATCTAACAAATTTAACTCATTTTTTTACTTAAGGAAATGGAGGCTCAGAGAGGCAGAGTGACTTGTTGAAGGTCACACAGCTAGTACGTGATGGATCTGGGACAAGAGCTCAGGCTTTTGGTGCAAAGTCCACTCCACTCTGCTGGAGAAAGGTGCACACAAATGCCCCCGGGAGAGGGAGCACAGCGACAGGCAGGGTGAGGACGGGCAGAGACAAGGGGAGGAAGGGAGGAAGTCTCAAAGGGGAGCCCCTCACTCAGAAAAGGGAGACTGGTGCACAAACGTTGTGGATGGATGTTGAGGCTCGGCCACAGGTGGGCACAGAATGGCCGCTGGGCAAACACGTGCCCTCCCAGGACAAAGTCTGGTGAAAGGCCCCATGATGCCCGGCTCTGAGCCCCGCTCACCAACGCCACGTTCCATTGGGGACCGCACCTATCGACTTCCCGTCCCACCAATGACCTTGGGCTCTTGAGACACTTATTGGTGGCTGTTCCTGGCGCACAGTAGGTGTGTGACAGAAGTCTGCTAAGTGACAAGGCCATTCAGTGACTGACAAGCCAAAGCCAGCTGAGTGTGCAGCATTCTGGCTGCAGGTTGCAACCATTGGGGTTGTCACTCATTCAACAGCAACAAGAGACCAAGCGCGGGCTGGGCCCTGGAGATGGAGACGGACAGAAGGCTGGAGGCTGAGGTTCCTCTCTGGAGGCTGTCACAGTCATCATGCCACCGAGAGACACAGTGGTCTGCGGTGTGGCATGGCAGGATGGAGACAAGGGGAGGGATGTGCAGGGGGAGGAATGCTCAGGGCACAGGATGGGCCTGGTGGGGAGAGGGTAGGACCAGGCTCTAACATGGCTGCCAAGATGCCCCCATGGGGACAGGACAGGGGCAAAAGCAGGCTTGTGGGAAGATGAAAAGCTGAGCTGGAGGGCTGCCCCGGTGGAGGAGCCCAGGTGGGCAGGGCCGTGTGGTTCTGGAGCTCCGGAGAGAGGGCTGGGATAGAAAGGCGGATCGGGAGCCAGGGACACCATCAAGAGGGTAGGAGACAGCCCAGCCGGTGTGGTTCAGTGGTTGAGCGTCGCCCTATGAACCAGGAGGTCAGGGCACATGCCGGGGCTGTGGGCTTGATCCCCAGTGTGTGGAGTGTGCAGGAGGCAGTCAGTCAGCGATTCTCTCTCATCATGGATGTTTCTCTTTCTCCCTCTTCCTTCCTCTCTGAAATCAATAAAAATATCTAAGAAAAAAGAAGGGAAGGAGACATCTGACAGAGATGGGAAACTGGCTGCATTCAGGGTGTGGGTGGGTTTTCTTGGCCTGCACAGTGTTTATTTTTGAAAAGTATTAAATCCCGACATCGCCACACCCCTTCCAGAGCCTGGGCTTCAAGTCCGCCCACTGACCGTCTCTGCAGCTCCCTCCTCCCAACGCCTCAACCCCGGGCTCCCTCCAGCCTGCGGGCATCTTCTCACTGTCCTTCACCCACCACATTTCACGTCCCTCCTTGCTCAGTGTCAGTGATTACAGTCACTCTCCTGGCTACAGCCTGGGCCGCCAGCATACCCTTCCCTTCAGCACATTCTCCTGGCTAAGCCACAAACCTAGTGGATTGAATGTTTCCACGGACCCCACGCTGGTACCCATGCAGCAGAAGGAAGCCAGGAGAGTGCACGGCCTTGGTGACTGGCTTCACTTCAATCATGATCATTATCTCAGCGCAAAGCCCAGCAAGCGGGTTGTGCTGCCCTAGTTCCCTCACCTTCCTGTCCTAGTAGTTCTCACACCTTCTCTCCCCAACCCCAACACGCGGTCACCTGGTGACCTTGAGAAAACAGAAGCCGCCAGAAGAGGCCTCCCAGAGGTCCCACCACCACACACACCGCCCACCTGTGGGCACACTCCCCTTCTCTCCTCTTTTTTTTTTAAAAAAAAAATATATTTTATTGATTTTTTACAGAGAGGAAGGGAGAGAGATAGAAACATCGATGAGAGAGAAACATCGATCAGCTGCCTCCTGCACACCTCCTACTGGGGATGTGCCTGCAACCAAGGTACATGCCCTTGACCAGAATCGAACTTGGGACCCTTCAGTCCGCAGGCCGACGCTCTATCCCCTGAGCCAAACTGGCTAGGGCCCCTTATCTCCTCTTGCCTGTCCGTCTGTGCTCCCAGATAAGGCCAACCCCCTACCTGCTCAGCAGGTCCTCCCCTCCGCCTGCTCCAGGGCATCTCAGCAGCAGGTCTCCCTCCCACTGCACACCTGTTGCCTCCCTGGGCCTGGATCCCTTACACCACTCGTCAGCAAACGTTGTCTGCAGAGGGCCAGCTAGTCACTATGTCAGGCCCTGTGAGCCATACAGTCTCCGTCACAACCACTCAACTCTCTGTGTCGGCGTAAAGCAGCTATAGATAGCTCGAAAGCAACACAAGCAGGGCTGTGCTCCCATTAACATGTATTTACGAAAACAGGCTTCGAATGGGATTAAGCCGTCCTTCGTAAAGGAGTCCTGATGTGCATCACTGTGCAAGCACGCTGTTGATCCTCCCATCATAAAAAATATACAAGAAAAGATAAGAAAAGTCCTCTCTTGGTCAAGTTTTTTTTTTTTTTTTCTAGAAAAACTCCCTGATGGACAGTGTAGCCTCCTGCTCCCTCCTGGACAGCTCCTGTCAGCTCTTACCTTCCCTGCCCCCAAGAGGCCCTCCTGTGGCCACCGGTGACTTCTGAGTAGCTAAGCCCAGTGGGCAGCCCCCACCTCATCTCAGCACCTGCTCACTCCTCCTTCTTGACCACTTTCTTCACTGGGCTCCCAGGACGCCACTCGGCTCCCTCAGTGTCCTCTGCTGGCTCCTTCTTACCTACTTGACTCGCGATGTTGGAGACCCGCAGGGCCCAGTCTCGCCACTTTCCCTCCGCACTGGCTCCTTGGGGCTGTCGCTGGTCTTATGGCCTCGACACCTATGTATGTGGCCATGCCCTGCTCCTTGCACCTCTAACCCAGACCTTCCTCCAGATGCACTTATCCAGCTGCCCACTTGACATCGCCAAGGGCAGGCACCCCCAAACTAGCCAGCAAATCTGAGCTTCTCATGTTCTACCCCTTCTTCCCAGCCTGCCCCTCCCTCGCCACAGGTAATGGCACCGGCAGCCTGCCCATTGTTCAAGACCTTGACATCATCAGTGATGCCTCCTTCTCTCTCACTCCACACCCATGAGTCAGCAACTCCTGCTCTCTACCTTCTAGACAAGGATCTGACCCCGTCTCACCACTCCCACCCCCTCTGGTCCAAGGTTCATCAACGTTGGTGTGATGGCTGCCACAGCCTCCTGATGAATCCCCTGCCTCTGCCCTTGCCCCACAGACCACTCAGCATGGCAGCCAGGGTGACTCACAGGCCCCCTTGAAGTGCCTGCACATGCCAGGCTTCCTCCTACCACAGGGCCTTTGCACGTGCTGTCCTCTCTGCCTGGGATGTTCTCTTTATAGCTAACCACCTGGCTCACTCTCTATAAGGCCTTCCTCATCCTTGGTGCCCTCCTGCAATATACTTACTATCCCTCCTCCCTGTTTTGTTTTCTCCTTAGGATTTTCTTGTTGTTGGT